GCCATGATCAAAATTTAAATTTAGGGACATATTACTTTGGAAAAGAGATTTTGGTTTTGTTTCCACAGAAAGTAAAAAGCTGTGGATTTTTTCCATACTAATGTGGTTTGATCAAGCAAGAACCCCTTGAAGCAGAGACCCAGGTGATCCAACATCTGAAATAGCTAAGACAGTGCAGCCTCAGACTACTACAACCAGGAATTGGCCAGATTTCTGTGTTTTCTGAGGATCCCCATGGTATTGACAGCATCCCCCACCATCAGGAAGAAGTTTGGCTAGAATGATGCCCAAATTGCCAAATATTGTTTATAAATGTTTGGTTTAATTTAAGGGGATTAGTTATAATCATTAGTGAACACAGTCGATCTCTTTTTAAAGAAAAATGTGGGAATATAATATAGAAATGAATACTTTGCATTGGTATGGATTTTAGTTTATTGAAACAATTTTAAGGTCAATTTTGTTAAAGGTGTATTTCTCTGCTTGTTTAGGTATTGTGTTTATACCACTCATTTAAAAATGCAATGTATTATTGAAAACTCTCTATTTAGTTCTGCAGCCCATTTTTAATAGGGTCCTTTGGTGTTTTGGAGACTTGCTTCTTGAGTTCTTTGTAAATATTGGAGATCAACCCTCTGACAGATGTGGGATTAGTGAATATTTTTTCCCATTCTGTGGGCTGCCTTTTTGTCTTGCTGACTGTGTCCTTTGCCTTACAGAAGCTTCTCAGTTTCAGTAGGTCCCATTTATTAATTGTTGATCTCACTGTCTGTGCTACTGGTGTTATGTTCAGGAAGCTGTCTCCTGTACCAATTCGTTCAAGGGTACCACCCACTTTCTCTTCTAAGAGGTTCAGTGGGGCTGGATTTATGTTGAGGTCTTTGATCCATTTGGACTTAAGTTTTGTGCATGGCGGTAAACATGGATCGATCGGCATTCTTCTACATGCCAGTCTCCAATTATGCCAGCACCATTTGTTGAAGATGCTTTCTTTATTCCATTGTATATTTTTAGCTTCTTTGTCAAAGATCAGATGTTCGTACGTGTGTGGGTTAATACCCGGGTTTTAATTCGATTCCATTGGTCTACCTGTCTATTTTTGTGCCAATACCAAGCTGTTTTCAGGACTATAGCTCTGTAATAGAGCTTGAGGTCAGGGATGGTGATGCCTCTGGACGTTGCCTTGTTGAACAGGGTTGTTTTGGCTATCCTGGGTCTTCTGTTTTTCCATACAAAATTGATTATTGTTCTTTCAAGGTCTGTGAAGAATTGTGCTGGGATTTTAATGGGGATTGCATTGAATCTGTAGATTGCTTTTGGCAGGATTGCCATTTTTACTACATTGATCCTACCTATCCAAGAGCATGGGAGATCTTTCCATTTTCTGAGGGCTTCTTTAATTTCTTTCTTTAAAGATTCAAAGTTCTTATGATACAGGTCTTTCACTTGTTTGGTTAGCATTACCCCAAGGTATTTTATGTTGTTTGTGGCAATTGTAAAGGGTGATGTTTCTCTGATTTCTCTTTCAGCCCTTTTATCATCTGTATATAGTAGGGCTACTGATTTTCTTGAGTTGATCTTGTAGCCTGCCACTTTGCTGAAGGTGTTAATCAGCTGTAAGAGTTCCCTGGTAGAGTTCTTTGGGTCATTGATATAAACTAGCATATCGTCTGCAAACAGTGAAAGTTTGACCTCTTCCTTCCCAATTTGTATCCCCTTGATCCCCCCTTTGTTGTGGTATGGCAATAGCTAGAACTTCAAGTACCATGTTGAAAAGGTAAGTGGCTGAGAGTCACTTGAGAAAGTGTTCAACATCCTTAGCCATCCGGGAAATGCAAATCAAAACAACTCTGAGATACCATCTCACTCCTGTCAGAATGTCTAAAATAAAAACACCAATGACAATTTATGCTGGAGAGGATGTGGTGAAAGGGGGACACTCCTCCATTGCTGGTGGGAGTGCCAACTGGTTCAGCCACTTTGGAAATCAGTATGGAGATTCCTCAGAAAAATGGGAATAAACCTACCACAAGACCCAGCAACTCCACTCTTAGGCATATATCTAAAAGATGCCCATTCATACAACAAAGATGTCTGCTCCACTATGTTCATAGCAGCTTTATTTGTAATAGCCAGAACTTGGAAGCAACCTAGATGTCCCTCACCTGAAGAGTGGATAGAGAAAATGTGGTACATCTACACAATGGAGTACTATTCAGCAGAAAAAAATAATGGAATCATGAGATTCGCAGGCAAATGGATGGCACTAGAAGAAACCATCCTGAGTGAGGTAACCCAGTCACAAAAAGAGAAACATGGCATGTACTCTCTCATATATGGATTTTAGACATAGATCTGGGGAGTGCCAGCCTACAATCCTATGGCCAGAGAGTCTGGGAAACAGAAACTTCATTTAGTGGCTGATCGAAGAAGAGGCAGACTCCCTTGGTTAAGTACTGAGCTGAACTCAAGAAAGCCAGTAACAGAGAGGGAGGACTGATGATCAAAGGGATTAAGACTGGGCTGGTTTAACCCCCAGAAACAGCTGACCAGACAAAGGTTAACTCTTGAATCCCAGGCATCAGCCTGGGAATCCAGCATGGGACTGACCAAGACCCCCTGAATCTGGGTGGCAGTGAGGAGGCCTAGGGAATCTATTGAGCCTTGGGCAGCAGATCAGTACCCATCCCAAGTATACACAGGGAATTTGGACTCCCATAGAACAATGTGAGGTGCACTCTCACCCTGAACTCTTGGGGAAGGGTCTAAGCCCTGCCCTATATGAAATGACAGTCTATGGACACCCCCATGGAGGGCCTCACCCTCCCTGGGAGAATGAGGGGATAAGGGGGGTTGGGGGAAGGGCACGGGAGAAGGGGAGGGAATGAGAGAGGGACCTGGAACTGACTTGTGAAGCAACCTCGTTTCTTATCTAAATTTAAACTGGAAAATAAAATATAAAAAATGCAATGTATTGTTAAATACAGATTATATGAAGTCACCTATAATAGTCAAAATTTATAATTAGGTTAGTTAGATTTTCTAGATATAGAGAGATATATTTCAAATGGATAGATATTCTTCAAACTTTTCAAAGACCTACAGAAATTGGCATTTAAATAGGGTTTTTCATGATGGTGAGACACAACTGCTCCTGGCAACACCTATTACTTTAGAGAGGAGGATGGGCATTGAAGAAACTCTTTATGGGATTTGCCTTCAACATGGCAAGACTATCCATTTGGGCAAGAAATTTCTACTGCCTTCACTTTTTGGCTGTATGCTGTCCAAACTGGATATACAGGATCAAAGTGACTGATGAATTTACCAAAACAAGATGGGATCATCCTTTAGGGTTCCTACTTCATGGAAGAGTCTGCCAGACATTCTGCAGGACACAGAGAAAAATGACTGAAACTTCCAATATGGATGGACAGTTTAAAATTTTCTGCTTCACTGAGAATTCTATCAGACACACTATGGCCTATGCTGAATATGGATGCTCCAGCAATACAGAAGAATTTGGGTGACTGTCCAGGCAGCATAATGTCTCTGTAAATTCTAGAGTTTATATATTATCCTTCTGAGGTCTTTGATGGTTATGGTTTTCCTTAGTTATGATAAAAGGTAAGTTACATATAAAATTTTAGACTCACAAAGATAGGATGAAAGCTAGATTATTTTCTTTAAATTTTCCAAATGTCAATGGACAAAATATTGCCAACTATAGTTCCTACTTGGTAACTGTTTTGTTATATATAATTTTATTATGTTAAAGTTAAAACCTTTGTTTTATTTAGACAGAAAAGAGGAGATGATGGGGATGTCCTTCTGTAAAAGTGTTTCTCGTATTTGTTGATGAATAAAACAGTGATTGTCCAGTAGAGGCAAAAAGATAAATGGGGCTAGGAGATGAGGAGAATCCTGGGGAGAGAGTGAGAGAGATGATGCAACGGTTCACCAGGTAGAGACTGGGAATATAGGACATTTCAGGCATTCTCTTGTAAGATAAGGCTATGTACAAATACATAGGTTAGTAGTTATGGTTTAAAAATTAAGGGAGAGCTATCCAGTAGGAAGCCCTACCTATTGATCAACATTCTATAATTTATATAATGTCCACATGTTTATTTGGGGCCAAATGGCTGTGGGACCAGGCAGGACAAAAACCTCCATCCTCATAGATATAGAGATATCTTCAAAGTCCTTTCTATTCTGTATTAAAGTAATTTCTATTCTATATTAAAGTTAGTTGGTCTCCATTATTTAGTTTCTTTAATAATGATTCCAACAGAAATTTGAGCGGCTTATCCACAGTAAGGACAAGGTAGGGAAGAATAGATAAAGTAATCCTAGGATGTCACTTTTGAGGGTATCTCACATTGATGTACTTGATATAGGACCCTTGAGTTCTTAGCCTTAGGATATCATTAAACTGAGCCTTTCTGCATAGGTCATCAACCTTGGAGGCAAGATCTGAGTTGAGAGAACCTCTACCAAACAGCAGATATAGAAGATTAAGTAGATAGTTCTTACTAAGAGGGATTCCTTTATATATACTATTCTGAATTCCTCTGTTTAATATACTGGCCTCTCATGGAATGCTAGTAATTTAGGAGGAAAGACCAGTTTAGCCCTTGAACAAGGAAATCCAGAGCAACTGTCCAATGGAGATGATAAGGAAGTGTGGAGATCTGGAACATGCATGAATGTCTCATCTTATTATCTACTCCTGTACCCTTTCCTTATCAATCTCCATGTAAATAAACATCAGGACAGTTATCCCCAACAGCTATAAACCTACTCAATCCACTCACTACAGATACTGTTGCAAAGACTAGAAGTAAAAGAGACAGCTTGGAAATCTCATATGTGGGTGAGGTAGGCCAAGACATGTTCATGGTTTTGCCTCTGGTCCTCCTGTGGCCACAGGAAGATGGTGCAAGTTACAGAGAAAGGGTTTTTGGGTCACTTCCCCATCTGACTATATCACTGTGGTAAAAAGTATTATCATCACCATATCCCGAAAAACAGTAATAGTCAGCCTCATCCTCAGGCTGGGCTCCACTGATGGTCAAAGAGGCTGTTGTCCCTGAACTGGATCCAGCAAATCGCTCTGGGATGCCTGAGGGGCGCTCACTATCTTTGTATATCAGTTGCAAAATGGTCTGGTCTGGCTTTTGCTGAAACCAATAAGCATATTTTTTTGGTAATTGTTCCCCAGAGCAGGTGAGTTTGACAGTCTCTCCTACTGGGACTGATGCTGAAGGTGGTTGGGTCAGCTCATAGGAGACCACAGAACCTGTAAGAAAGAGATTTCAAGTTATAAGGACTCAGGATTTTCACCTGTGTTCAGCATCTCCTGTGAGCCTGAGAAGAGATTTAAGATGTTCACCTGCATACAAAGAGAGAAGAGGTAAAAGGAGGGTCCAGGCCATGATGAAGGTGCCTCAGAGCTCTGTGTTCTGAAATCACAGCACATCTGGGCCTCTAAAGGCTTCTCTTATTGGCTTTCTAGTCTGTGGGGCAGTGTGTGGTATTATGCAAATTTATTCCATACATAGGCCTACCCAAGGAGGGTTAGTGGGGAGCTTACTGTACTATAATGGAGTCCTTTTCATCAGGACATGGCCTTGTGGTGATGCATTGTTTATGATTTATTAAAGCTTGATGAGGATTCAGAAAGCAAAGTCAGGTGCAAGCCACTAAAGCCAGGCACACATCTTTAATCACTGCACCCAGAAGCTAGGAGGTGATGGTACACACCTTAAATCCTAGGACTCAGGATTAAGATGTAGACACATCTCTGTGAGTCCAAGGACACCCAGATATACACAAGAGTGGATGAATCAGTCTAAAAGAGATTTATAGCTCACACCTTTAATGCCAACATTAGCAAAGGATATAAGACAGAAGCAAGGTCTCAGTAGAGGGTTAGTTCTCCATCCAAGTCTGAGACTTAGAGACAGGATCAGCCATTCAGCCTGAGGTTGAGGTAAGTACCTAGTGGCCAGCTGCTTTGCTCCTCTGATATTCATCTTGAAGTTTCAAGCCCAACATCAGTCTCTGAGCCTTTTTAATTTTGTGTTACATGGTCTAATTAATTTCTATTTTTAATTAATTTTATTTAAATGTAAAACAACATTATTTTACATACCAATCCTAGTTTCCTCTCCCTCCCATTATCCCACTCCCCCCACTTTCTCCCCATCTCACTCCTAAACACAGGATATCCTAATTCATTTCTTATGTAACATACTGTTTGGTAAGTTTGCTTTTCTAGGTTCTTCACAATTCTTTGTTTTATTTAAGATATAGTGACAACTTCCTCCTATGATGGCACTATATCCACAGTACAACAGCAAATATGATGAGGAATCATCCTTGTCCATTTTGTGTTAGTGTTTAACAAGGTCAACACTTCCAGTCTAGTTCATCAACATACCTGACAATTACCCTCCAGTCTCTCTCTTCTCTGTGAATGTAGTGAACTCCTCTGAATTTCTGTTTTGACCTCCAGAGATGTATTTTCCCAAAGAAATCTGGCAGGTCTTTGCTGCACCTCTGTCACCCTCTGCTGGTGCAGGGGCCTCATAACAGGAACTTCTCTTTCAGTTGACCACAGCTCTGTCAGTTGAGAGTGTGTGAGGGGAGGGGCAGGGGTTTCAGTTAGATTGTACCAGGTGGGCCCACTCTGGCATGCTTAAAACAGGACAGAGAGGACATATTGACATTGTTCAGGGGAGCTGTGGCAGGAACAGTTTTGTGACCTTCTCTAAATGTCTTTCTGTTATGCTTTGGCTTAGCTCATGGATATTATAGGGTACTTCAAATATAACTCTTTCAACACCTCAACAATATAGAAAAAACAAGCACAACCTTAAATTCAGTCACTATCTTATGATGTTTTAGCCAAATTAGGAAAAAATGTCACCTCAGTGCTAACGGGTCAACTTTATATCATTGATATTGTTGTATCTGAATATCATCCTCACTGTCATCTGTTACTATCATAAGTCATCTTATTCTTCACAGTTCATCAAGGAATTTCAACCCTGTCTTGACTGCTGTTTTCATGAAACCAGAAACCCCCTATTTTGTCTTAGGGAGGAGGGCTGTTCCTACCTCAGAGAAAATACACTCTCTTTGAACACTTGTTCTTGAATTCTAAAAGAAGAAAGAGTTTCCAGGGGGCTCAAATATTATCTCTTATCCAATACCAAATCAATTTTCAAAGCATGAGTATTTTTCATATGTTTGTAGGACATGACTTTCAAGTTCCAGAACTTAGTGTTAGTTTATAATAGATATCTTCATGTGACAGGGTATAAAGAAAAAAAAAGCAGACAATATTATACCCAGCAAAGAGACCAGAACTTCCATATCTAGGAGTGGACATAGATGTCCATAATCCATACCTGGGACCTATGATGTGGGGTGTGGTCAAGACATAGAGATAGCAGTAAAACAGTATCTGAATGGTTTACTGTATGCCCTACACTACATATTCCTGTCCTCTAGCATCTCTTGGCTTTTCTGAAATGTTCAACACAACATGTAGGTGATTTCTCTGGAACTGAGTCCATATTAGATATAGAAAACTTACAGGGAACTGGGCATTTGCTGTGTTAGCAAGTCCTTACATGCCTTTTGCTGGTATCTCTGCACTGTTTCTTCTTTCATCTCCCTGAGCATGTGCATGACTGGAATCTTATGACTTCTTCTACTGGGGATATTCATTTCTTCTAACAGACATTATTACATGGGGATCAAGAGTCACTAGACTTAGCACAGATTAAGTGAAGTTTATTCTGGGAGAAGGCACTTACCCAAGAAGTGGATGACCTCCGCAAGTTCCAGCTCCAAGGATCCACCCATGCTGTCCTCTGTGACCTGACCAGAAGCAAGAGAGAGCACTGGTGTTGGGGACTCCAGTGCAAGTCCTAACCTCAGTCACATACACACCTGTTATCACACTCAAACAGACATGGTCATTGTTACAAGTGTGGGCAGGGTGGATATCTCACTACAAGACATGAAGTGTACAAGCCCAGAAAAATTGTCAGTTCCTTCTTTACACTATACCATCTTAAAAGCTGAGGATCCTGATAAGATGTGGGAACTAGGGAAAGAGGCTGGTATAAGCACCTGGACAGTCTGCATGTCCCAAGAGAAAGGAAACAGATTCTGAGGTCTGCAGGAAGTGATGTAGATATACCTGATATCTGCCTCTTAGACAGGCAATAGAGGGATCCAGTCATCATTCATCCTCCCAAGGAGATGTGTCCCTGGGGCCAGGGAGCTATACTTCAGTCTACTAGTAATGTGGTTCCAGATCCAAGGTCAGCAGTGCCTATTAAGATTCAACAACATTGGAGAAGTCACAATGTAATCATGGTCATGGCAATCAGAGGGAACACCCATGTGTTTGAGGAAGAATAATGGACAAATTTGCTACAAGTTTAATTGATGTTTCAATTATTATTTGTGTTTCAAATTAATGAGTCATTTATCATGACCTTTAGATGCTTATAAGCATAAAAATTAATAAATAATGAACATGTAATTACAATTTCTATGTTTTCGATTTTTTAAAGAATTTCATACTAGATTACTATATATGCATCATTTTTACTCCAACTTCTCCCCCTCTAATTCCTGCATCCTCCCCCACTCTCTCTCAAATTCATGACTGCCAGGCTTGATCCCCCTTTAAACATGGCATGACTGGGAAGGGAAACTGGGTCTGGCTGGGGCAGAAGGTAAGTTCTGACATACTGTGAGAATGAGAGGAAAATGATATCCAGAAGGTTGTTTATTCAGAAGGAGCAGGGGAAGTTATACTCTAGGAATTGTGGCCAGTTGGATCCATTCAGTGGTATGTCACTGGTTGAAGCAAGAACATCAGGGGCTCTTCATTTGCATGGCCATAGATAACATTGGCCAGGAGATGGGATATTATAAGGTCATAGTAAGTCTAGATCTGCTTTGTTCCAGTGGTCACATAAGCAGCTACCAGTCCCTACAGACTTGGAGACTCATGAGTGTATCAGCTACTACATGCATTGGGGCACATCTATGCTTGGGACAGCCTAACTGCTGGGGTCTGCTAGCTTCTAGGCAAAGCAGGAGAAGTAGCTGAACTCCTCATACTCTTGGAATGAAAAAATCCAGGGTTTTAGGCTTGCTTTGATGCCTTCTTACTTTTAGGCAGCCCCACACATGAACTCTTTTACAGTTACAGCTTCATATACATGTGCATGTAATTAGAAAATCTCTTGAGTTCATTTAGTGTTTCTCTTGTATACATGAATGCTGGGCTTGTGAGTTAAAATTGGATAACCCATCAGAGAGAACCATCTTGAAAAAAGAACATTCCTAGCCCCATCATCAGACATTCACTGCCTCTAGGTCTTCAAATACAGGTGGACATTGAGAAATTTCTGCCATCCACATTGGTACTACCATCATGCTGGTCTTCTTCAGTTAATCGTCTTGTTATGATTTCATTGGTACAGCTTCCCTGTTATGTCTAGAAGGCTCTTAAAAATCTTCCTACCCTTTCTTCTACCATGGTCTATGATATTTATTGTGTGGTAGGTGTACCAATTATGGCTTGGCACCCCATGGTCACTTATTCTCTGAGTTTTGAACTGGAACACCCTCATCTGTTGCAAAAAGACACTTATTAGAAGAGGGTTGCAAGATACACATATTTCTGTGAATGGGGATATGTATTTAGAAAACAGAAATTATATTGGTTTAGGAAACTGGAAGAATTAACGTCTCCTCTCAGGTCCATGACTGCTTCTGCCTTGGGCATTTGACTAGGTTTATAGAACTGGCTGGAATATATTCTTTTAGAGCCAGCATATGCCCAACTTTAGTGTAGTTGGTTATCTGACAATAAAAGTTCCACCATTTCATCTTTACCAAGAAAGCATTCCTCAAGCCCATTCTTTGCCAACTAGTTCCCAGCCACTGAACTGGACCCCTCCCACCCCAAACCCAGAAAACTTCTGTGAAGCAGACAGAAGTCATAGCCAGCAGAGATAGGGTGATTTACCTATCAGTGGAACTGTACCCCTCCCTGTACTGTGTCACTCATGGCAACACCATTCCAGCTTGTTCCTGACCCTGTTATTTCTTAATCCTTCCCCTAACCACAGCTGTCTTTCACCACTGAGATGCAGACCACACCAACTACAACTACCCTCATCAGTCCAGTGGACAAGTAGCCCTTCCAGAAGACACCATAGTGACACAGTTCATATCAGTTGGAAGAACAGGTGCCATAGACCCAAGCATAGTTCACAACATTCAAAAGAACAGATCCCAATCCTCTACTGGAGACAAGACTAGTCCTAGGTATACAGAAGACTTTGGATTTGCTGGAAGACAAGCTGCATCTAGAGACCCAAGAAAACTTAAGCTTTACTAGAGGGAAGACTGGGTCATGGGATGCAAGGCCTCCCAAATCCCAGCAGAGACACATTACTGGACCTGAAGATTTATCAGTAACAAGAATGATTGGCCA